TCCTCTTCAGGTGAAGATTGGACTGACAAGTGTAATTTTTTTTTACATGTTCTTGCCTGATATGTCTTTTAGTGCAACTTCAAATTCAGTTTGTGTGTGTGCGGTTTTTCTTTACAGCAGAACATTTTGGCATACAAGTTCAGATTTTTATGGTACAAATTCTCACATTGCATTCTCAAGTTTTCACATTAAATTCACAAGTTCGTTCATTTTGGCACATATTTACCTTCATAAGTAATGAACAACTTTAGGTTTTTGTATATTATTCGGTAGAAAGTGCACCAGGTAGAAGGTGCACTTTCACTTTCTTCTGCTGCTTGAGGTGATGCTAAAGGAGCTTCAACACAGTTTTCTGTGTATTCCTTGCCAAACAGGAGCGTATACGCATCTGAAATTAGACCCCCAGCCTAAATTGGGTGAAGTACATACTTACAAGTACAGGAACATTTTTAAACTTATAATATGAATTTGCTCTAACTATAATTTATCAGTTTAAAATGTAAGGCTGTCACATGCATAACCAATGCCTAGTACACAAATGATGTTCTACTGCAGTATATGTCTGTTGTATTCGTCTCTTTAGCCTCCTCCAAGTCTTAGCAGCTGGTCTCTCAAGCTCATGGTTTGACGTCACCTCTTCGTCTAACACATAATAAATAATCTTACCATAAACGAATTAAAGAAAGCAAAGGTTGAACACCTTTCTTCAAATAAGGGGCTGGTAAAATCAGTCACTGTAAGTTAAAGCTTGGCCAAACCAGAGACAAGAAATCAGTCACGACATTCAGATATTTGCACATTAAACTAAACGCAAAGGATTTCTGACGAAAAAAGGAGAAACATGGCGCAAAAAACGACAGGTTGAAGAGAGAATTGGTAAATATTAGGCATTTCCTGATCCCATATTGATATCTGGCTCAATCGATCCAAAATTAGCCAAAATAAAAACAAATATCGGAACATATTGATCTATATTCTCTAATATAAGCAGGCCGAAAGGAGCACTGCTTCCATCTCCTGTTTTAGGTTTATGTAACTCATTGGTTAATAATTGAAGGGTCAGTTGTTATTACAGATGTTATTGTTGTTGATTATTATTCTCTGTTTCAGTAATATGATACGATCAAACCATTTCTAACATTCTAAAATACTCTCTAAAGAGTATTCAAAGTATATACCATTTGTGTTGATATTGTTTAGGGTCAACATCAGTACACAACACATCATCTCAAGGCATCAGTCAGAGACGATTCAATATGATCATTCAGTCAGAGGGGTAAAAAGTCGCTATCTGGGGAAAAAAACTCTCCCGCATGTGCATGTGGGGACATTTTATCCACTCAACAGCAATCCCTCACACTGATCATCCATGCAGCGACAGTGGAGAGGAAAAACTCCTTTCTAACAAGAAGGAACAGGGTGAGCAGCCAACTACCGGTCTATCGTGTTGAAGAAAGAGCTGAACAAAAAAGTAAAGCTCTTGATTCATCGGTGTAAGTTCCCTGGGTCGCCCCCAGGAGGAGGCCGAGGGGATGACCCAGGAAACAACCGTCTCTCTGGCCTAGGAGCACCTCTGGCTTCGCCCAGCAGAGCTGGAGGAGGTGTCTGCATAGAGCGAAGACTGAGGGTCTCTACTGATACTGCTGCCAACTGTGACATGGTCCCAGGTGAAACAGGAGATGACGAGACATTTAAGCACACGAGGTGAGACATTTTTCACGCCAGAAAAATGACGAAAGAGAGCACATACAGTTAGTCATAGAGAAGGCTGATTCCATAGCTAATCTCTAGGAGAGAAACAGGACTCAACACTGAAAAGCAGGCCCAACTATCAACTATTAATAAAGATGTCGATGGTAGCAGCACAGCTGATATTAGTTTCCTGGATGATGTCAAACAGGAATAGAGTAGATGGAGTAAAAAACAAAAAACTGATGGAAACAAGAGGAGCATAGCAAAGACAAAAAAACAGGGATCAATTGGAGTAGCAGGAGCAGTAAACAAAAAATAAAACCAGGGTGTTAATAAAAAGAACCATGAAATGAGAAGACTTATAGTAACACCTATGATTACTTTTATGATGTTAATGTTCAAACAACAAAAAAACTTCCTCTCAACTGTCAATTAGCAATAGAGGAACTTCATAGAAGGGAGACGAGTTTCTGACGATTGGCACTGTAGGGCTGTTTCATTCCTTTTTCAGCTCTTGCTGTTAAAACATCCCTATCTGTGCGCTTAAAGCAAAGTCTTAAAATTATCAGCTTTAAAAACGTTGTTTAACCATTTCCAAGCTTTTTAGTCCCATTTAGGAAGAGAAACTCCTACAATAAAAACAAGTTTCTCCAGCTGTATGAAGTCACTTTCAGCAAATTAACATACAACCAAAAAAATGCAACATATCTGTATTCGTGTCATTCTCGGTGATCTTAAAGTGTTTATTTAGTCTTGTTACAGTTTTTTTTTTTTGGTTTGAATTTGACCTATTAAAAAAAAAAAAAAAAAAAAAAAAAAACATGGTATTCAAACGTTTAGTAGTTAAGCGCCCCCCTAGCACCTGATGAGAGCGGTCCTTTCCACTGGCACAGCAGCGAAATGGAGCCACAGTTTGGGTGGAAAGAAAAAGTACTGTGGTTTAGTAAATCAAGTTTAGCAGTGGAACCAGTTTGCTGGGAAAGAGGCTCCAGCAGCTGCTGATTGCAGCAGGCCTAACTAACCAAACAGACAGTATCCTCATGTAGATGTGTGTTTTTCTATAAAGAACAGAACTGTGTTAAAAAAAAAAAAAAACTAAATAAAGCTTAATCCTTAATATAAAATAATCCAATCTTTTTTCTGCAATCAAAAAATGTTTTATGAACCCCAAATGGAAAAATAATCATCTAACAATAACTGTATCATCAGTCTACCTCCACCGTGCTTTAAGATGTAACCTTCATCCTACCTGATTCAGAGATTTTTGTAGATGCTGATGGATTTAAAAAGGTTTGAAGATGACTTTAACAGAGGGCAGGTGTATTATTTTCTTGTGAACAGGCTGCTCAGGGTTAGTCGTTGTGTTTTTGTTTGTTTTTTTGCTGTATAAAGCATCAATCTTTGTACGGTCTTCTCCAGAAATGTCCCCACAACAAAGCCAGCAGTCTTTATCGGTTTACTTTAAAGTCAAAGACTCAGATGCAATGATGATGGCCGAAGAGCTCCTCGTAGATAACTTATCGTCACTGTGGGGCAAGGTTTTAGCAGCGGTAGGAGTAAAATTTTTTTGTTTTTCCTTTCTTTTCCTTTCAAGTGTTTCTGCAAAACCAAAACAAAAAAATGCATTCCGCTACAATCATTTCTTTTGTCTGGGCTTTTTTATCCTGAGCATCCAATCTCAGATTAACAGATTATTAAAATAAATCATCAGGGTGGGTCAGACACACAGACCAATTTCCACTCAATAGTCCACAGATCTTCATGAATACTTCACAAATCACCTAAAGGATTAAAAACTTTTGCAAATTACATTTTTTTAGTGTAAAAGAGGCACCTAAAAAAAACTATCCAAGCTGATAAAAAAAAAAAACTAAACGTTTGCACCAAAAAAAAGCAAAGAAAAACTGCCCAGAGAATTTATAAGTAAAGTGAAAATGCTGAATCACAATGATATTTCGATAAGTCATTGTTTTTCTTTTTTAATAAGGCTACAGGCAGACAATATAGAAAGGAAATAGGTTTTCCAGAAAAAGGAGACAGAGAGCTCAGCTTTTTGTTGGACTCTTACAGGTCAGCAGGCAAACAGAAGACATTTTTTTTCATATCCAACAAAGAAACTTATTCGGCCTATTTTAAAATGGTCTGACTGCAAAACACGGTCAAAGTGTGGAGACCAACAACATAGAAAGACAACATGTCTGTTAAACCCAACCTCTCCGAATAAAAAACAGATATACTTTAGTCTCTCTCTGTGCACAAAAAGGATGAAGAAAAGTTGAACATTCAGCCCATCAGAAGCCATGGCTTCATACAGGGGGATCGCTTTGCTGATTTTCATTTGATATTTTTATGTGCATACCTCAATAATCCAGCTGTTTTACTTCAAGTATTGTCAGTTTGAATTTCCCACCATAGACTAGTCAATATTTACATTCAAATAAAGAATTATGCCTTTGTAGATAGAAAAAGGCAGTGAAGTTTAAGCTCTCTAAATATCTCTGCAAGCCCATCTTGTAATCCTTGTCGATCTTGATTAAAAGCAACCCCTCCCTTTAGACTATAAATGCTTATATAAATGATTCAGTTTAGCAGGATGTAAAATACATTACTTATTTAAAGGACGTAGGAATCAAGGTATCACAAACCTTTCTGTAAAAGATTAATAATGTTTCTCAGGGGACTTTATCATGTGCAATTAAGCATCCCTTTTTGTAAATTAGCACGGTGAGGCAAAAATTAGTTTTATTTGCATGCATTGTAGCCCCAATGCATCGGTTTATAGCAGATTTGAGATATTTGGAGATAGGAAGTAAGCAGCTTTGGGTTGTAAACATGAATCTATTCCAGTTAGTTATAATGTCGAACTAAAAGGATGCAATAACACCATTGTTTCCTCCAGATTGTTTCCATGATAGTTGGAGTGCTTCTAATAAAAAAAGACTAAATTCTGCAGCTGTCTAATGGACATTTAAGACGACACCATAACATAGTTAGCTGCAGCTGGATTTAGAGCATATCATGATAACGGGGGGGATGGGGCTGCTACCAAAAAAACAGGGAGCATCTTCATCAAATGAGTAAATTTTTTTAGGTCAAGCAAAGCGAGGCTTTTTCGTACGTACTTTAAAGCCCACATTGGCACGTTAAGGATGTTGTTTTGGCTAACTGGCTTACCCAGCCTGTATTTCACCTTTGAATTCGCAACAACGTCGCCATCTTGCAAGGAAGATTTCAGCGCACAGAGAGTCGCTTAAATAGTGTGCTAAGTACACTCACTGACTGTCTGCATGTCCGCCTTATGTACTCACCCCATATTTGAAGTTTGTAGAAACTGGGAAGAATGGGAACACCGGGCAGAAATCTGTTTTAGCTGTTGAATGTAAATCCGCGGGTTTGTGGGCTGTGAACGACTGAGCAGACTAAAGGCTGCGCCGCATTTGTCGCTCGACGTCCTGACAGCGTCAAACAATAGTTTTCGGTAGAAATGTATATGGGATGCCTAAAATATATCTATTTACATGAAAATGTTAATCTACAAATACAACAACATAACATATGGTGGATGTATCTGATTGTGTTAATATCGTAAAGATTAAAAAACATTTTATATATACCTGTAAGGACGGTTGAGTGTTACACCTAAATCACCCCTACAACACGGTAATGCATCTGTGTTTTTAAATGTTTTATTTTTTTAATGAAGATTAAATAAAAAAATAATTAGCTAAAATCTTTTTTAATAAAAGGTATATTAGATTAAACGGTTTTGCTGTATTTATCCCCCCTCCGATCATCCTAATGTTGTAAAGGAAAACGTAAAGCTGACTATAACTGTGTATGCAAATGTAGATATTATTATGAGATATCGTTACTTTTCCTAACAGATCATTTCTGTGTGTAGTAGCATAGTTAACACACTTTTTTATCTCCTATTTTTCTACCTTTCACATCCGGAACCATTACAAGTATGAATCGTGTACTTACACGGATCGTTTACAGCAACGGCCAAAATAATGTATGTTTACCTAGTGGTCTTTGCAGCTTTATGGTATTTGGTGTGGATAAAATTAATATATGACCGACACCGGCACACTTTTAGGAAGTCACTGGAACAAGCGATGAACGTTTCGTCAGGAAGAGAAAATGACGGCGCTGACGTCAGAGCTCTGATTGTTACTGCACATCCGGATGATGAATGTATGTTCTTCGCGCCGACAATCATACGACTGGCTGAGTTAAATGCCCGCGTCCATCTGCTGTGTTTGTCTGAAGGTATGGTGACAGAACACAATGGGTGATAAAAACAGCGAGCCTTTTAAAGCTAAGACATCACTGGAGGAACACTGATCACACATGACAATCAAATCGATTAATAGAATGTTAAAAATCACTTTCAGCCATATATATATATATTGCAGGGGTTTTAACACGCCAGGAATACTAGGAATAATAATCCTTCAAAATATTTTTATAAATCCATATGTTCAAAACTATTGTAAATTAAAATAACATAGATTATGTGTGTTTTAGAAGTTCAAATGAAGACATAGAAAACCTCCCTTTTTATATTTATAAACTTCAGAGGTGAGAGTCATGATTATATAACACAAAAGTTCCTCAACCTTTTTGCTTTTGACCCACAAAACGATTTTTAAAAAAGTCTCATGGCTCAAAGTTTTGGTCAGAATAGAAATATCTCTAATTATCTCTAATTTATCTAAAGGATCTCCTGACCCCATACTTTTTGATCTGTGAACCCTGAAAAGGATCATGACCTTATCTTTGGGAATTAATGAGTAAAAAAATAGTAGATTGAAGAAAATAATACGTATTCTCTGCAGCAATGCAAGATTATTTACACATCATCATATATACATGGGTTATTTAACATGCTCTGCAGGTAAATGTAGGAGCTGTGTTTAAACAATTGGGAAAATCATTTATATCAAAGTTATATAAGCAGAGGTTAAAAGTAATAGAATGCTTGAACACATATTTTTTTAAAAGACAAAGAGCTGAGGAGCATTCAAACTAAATGCTCCCTGGTTGAATTTTGCTCCTCCTTTGGATATATTTAATGAAAATGTCTTTGTCTTTTATAACATGAGTTTGTATAGTTCAAAATCACCACCCTATCAACAACATATAACATCCTATCATTTGTTAAACAGGGTATCACTAAATTAAAGAATGGTGTGATATGATATTATTCTAGTGTTTTTCATTGCAGAGGTGTAGCCAGAAAATTTTTATAAGGGTGGCCAGGCAATAACCAATGTACACTGAGGGGTGGCCGAAAGTAGATAGGCACCAAAACCTCTAAGTCAATCTACACTGTTCCAACAGGAAAATTAATCAGCAAACATCCATATTTTCTAAATAAAGACAAACTATACTTTCCTACAACCTTTGCTAACAAATAGACAAATATATTCAAACATCCGTGCTTTCTAAATAAAAGGTATAGTGGATTAAATTCTTTCAGGTTTGAGTTTTGGGCAAACATGTCTTCCATTGTCATTACTTACCTACTTTTATGAAGAATAATTCTGCATATAATTGATATTTACAAGTACTAATATCTACATAAAATGATTATTTAATACTTTTTTATTAAAATAGTTATTTATCTATGATTTCACTGAAGACTACTGAATGACTTGCAGAGACACATTATTTTCTCTTTACCACATAAAACACAAAATCCATTTCTGCGTAAATTCTGTACTTATCATTGTTAATGTTAGTTTATTGATGTGCAGAATTAACCATTTTGTCGTCAGGTAATTGTTAATATGTGAAAATTTTAAATATTTTGAATATTCCACTTGAGATTATTACTGTATTTATTATTATCTGTATTAGGGGGAAATAAATGGTGTGGGTGGCCAATGATTGGCTATGGGTGGCCATGGCCACCCCTGGCCCCCCATCTAGCTCGGCCCCTGTTTCATTGTATTTAAAGTGGAAACAGCAGCAGTCTGACTGACTTTTATGTACAAACATAAAGATACAGGCAGCATATCCAATAACAGAGAAAACAAAAGCATACATCTGTTTTTCTGTTTTTGTTTTTTTAATATTAAATCGTTTATTCTGGGAACTTTTGTAAGCTTTTAATAGATTGCAGGTAATTGCCTGTTAGGGACTCATTAAATCCATGATGGGTTTTTTTGTATGCTCTCTTATCTATTGACTCATAATGTAGACTCAAGTTGATTGCTAATTTCTAAAGATTATGGTGATGATAAGGAGGCTTTCCAAAGTGGAAGCTCTTTGCAAAAGATAGGAAAGGTGCAAAAAGCTCTACAGTGAGTAAAAAAGCATTTGATTGCCTCAAAACTGAAATCAGCCCCACAAAATTCACGCTTTTATTAAAATCATAATCTGATATATTAAACTGTGATTAAAGGAGATACTTTGTACAAATTCGAACTTCTGAGCATTTTACTGTAGACCTTTTCCCTCTTTAAACGCAAAGCTTGAGGGGCCATCCGGGTTGAAAAATAGATATAGCATATTTGGAAAGCAGGACTCAGTGAGCCAGCACTCCCTCCCTACCTCCTTTTTATTATTCTACATCTCTTCAGCGCTGCGTTTTAATCAGACCAGAAACTATTGACAAGGGAAAAGTATTAAAAATAAATATTTCCTAAATGCCGTCTGGAAATGTAAACTTTTAAAAAATTTTCGAGGAAAGCCAAGCTTTGGTTTTATCTGCAATTTTTGTGCAGGAAACTACTACAACCAGGGAGCTCAGCGGAGGGAAGAGCTTCTAAGCAGCTGTGCTGTGTTGGGGATACCAGCCTCCAGAGTCACCATCATAGATCATAAGTAAGCATCGTTCTGCAACTACATTTAAGATTTGGAACAAGCTTTAATGTAACTGTACTGTTTAATCTGCAGTAGCATAGCTCATATCATGTATTTTATTTTCTATTTTGAGCCCTTTTATCTAATGGGTAAAATCTCATTTTCTCATGGTCTTTAATAATTTTTTTTTTTTTTGTATATACTTTTTTTTTTATCAGATGCATCTAGAACTGTTTAGTTATAACAGACTTTCTTCTTGCTTGGAATATGGATGCTAATTGGTACATAGGCAAACATCTTTCAGCTGTTCCTGAAAATGAAGAAGGCAAAGAAAAGATGACTTCCAAATAAGGCAGATTCTTTATTGTTTAGATCTTCGTAAGCATAGAAATTGGTTGAAAAATTAGCTGCCTGTCTAATTGTGGCCACATCAGCAGTGAAAGGAGTGATAAAGGTTTCAATAAGCTAGAAAAGTGACAGACAAGGGTTGACGATAATCAATGTTTGGGTTGTTTTTTTTCCACCAGGCACAATAACAAGAATAATAAAGCAGGTAGAAAAACATAATTAAATCAACAAAGATTTTTCTTGGGAAAACTGCAGATTTCAGATTGCAAATATTTTTAATAAAAGATTATTTAGTTTTAAGGGCTTTTTGAACATAAATCCTTTGACTTCCAATGAAACGTTTTCCATGTCATAAGAAAATATAAACAATAACATAAAACAGATTTTATTAAGCAGTCAGCTCCTCTATGAGGAGAATTCCAATACACTCCTGAAGAGTTAAACAAAAAAACATAGAGGTTATATTTTAGCCTTTGGTATTTTGTTTAGAGTGTTTTAGAGTTTAAAGCCTGCAATAAAAGCACCAAATTTCCTCTTAATTCTTTTTAACCCTACCACGAAATATAAATATAAAATAAAACTCCTTTATAATTATTATTATTTTTACAAAGAGAATTGAGGCAGAAAACTCAGTTATGTGTAGTATAATCCAGGTCTGCTTCAGCTTGTTCATTTTACAATAGATCCAATCTAAGCTGACTCACCAGAACTAAAAAAAAAAACATGAAATACTTTAGAATTGAGGCCAACTTCAAACTCATAATTTTTCAGCATGTAGAGTAAATACCGAAGACAAAGACAGATTAGTGTACAAAAATGTTCATATATGTTTTTTTGTACCCAAATAATCAGAAGAAAAAAAAAACGGATAAGAAAGATTGGAGGAAAATATTGGGATACCGCTCTGGTCTGCAGAGGCGAAGAAAGATCTGATGTACTGCTTTTTTTATATCCCTACCCTCTCCTTTAGTCCTGATGTATGATTCATGAAGAAAAATATAAGTTCTTGGATATAAGTTGCTGAAATAGGCGCCAGTGGATCCGCATCAAAAATAGGCAGTTCAGGTGGTTCTGGTTTCCAAACTGGAGATCACTGGGAGACTCGGAAGGTGCTTTCTAGAATTTAACTCTTCTGGCCAAGGAATACTTTTGGGATCCTTGATGAATAAATTTAGCTCCTTCTTTAGTTTTCTAGCATAGCTGTAAGACAGTACCTGACTGAAGTTAGTGTCTGACCATAAATCACATCCTGGCGTTCTGCCTCTAAGTGACCTCATTCATCCTGGCCTGATGTATTGTAGG